ATCTTTTTAGACACTATTTTGCAGAGGCCATTCCTCATAGAACTGGAAGTAATCTAGAGAAAGTAAGATTTATTAGACACTACTTTGCTCAAAAAGGCCAGTGGTTACAGGTTTAAGAATAAAAATAGTCTTGATTTTCAGTACTGTCTCCTGGCCTTTTTCTTCCCTGCACAACAAAAACCACCAGGTGGAAATTGTGGCTTGGTGGCTCTGCTTATTTTTTAATGCAATTGCATTTGGAAAGGCAACTATATTTCTTAAAGAGCCATGAAAAACTTGCATGACACACATGTGGCATGTAACATCTTCACAGACATGAATGATGAAGGCACATTACCTAACAGTTGGAAAAAACCAACAAAACTTTTGTAGGACTAAAAATTGAATGCCTTAGAGAAAACTCTTTTTCACAACTGGGTGACAAGTGCTGTTTAGCCATGGCTGTTTCAAACACTTTGCCATGAAGACAAAACACAAGGAAAGAGTCTCCTTGAAATGCCCTCCCTACCGCAGCAGCCTGCTTCCCCCACAGTTCTTCAGACAATTTCATTCTTGCAGAGCAGTTTGCAACAACTCCAGAGACAGGCAAGAGAAATCTGTGTAGAAAACATCAAGCCTGTGGGTTCTTACATGACCAACAACTCACCCACCCACCCCCAGTTCAACTACAGCATCTTCAAGGAGATCATCCCTGGATGATCTGGAAATGGGGTAAAGGTCTAGAACAGAGAACTGAGGAATCTGTTTCAAAATCCTGTGCCCTCAACTTTTTTGTACTTAATTATATATGTTAATAAAGAAAAAGACAGTGCTCTCTGCCACAGAATAATTGTTCTCTCCTCTATCTAGATCAGGAAGATATTAGCTAAAAAATGAAAATATGTACTTTATTTACAATAAAAACATCTATACTGCTCCATGCTCCATCCACCACATACATGTTGCTGACCACTGCTGAAGCCAGGTGGTAGCAATAGTGGTAACCAAAGTACCTTTCTTTTACAAAGACTTTCCCCTCCCACCCTGCTGTTTTTCCACTGTTCCAGGCTTTAGTGAGATGTTTACTAACACCTCTTTGTAGTGCACTTTAAGGTTACAGTTTCTAAAGGCAAAGCAAGACTTGCTCTGCTGTGTTTTAGCTGTCTTTTCCCCCTTTAAAATCATGTAGGATTTTCAAATTTACATGCCATTATCAACTTTGCATAGCAATACAACAGGTTGTGTTCCCCTCCCTTTTAAAATAATTTTTAAATAATAATCCTGCAGTCCCCCTTTTTCAACACCTCCCATTGTCCAAAGGGTTACCTCTCATTCTCAGGGAAGAGTCCTCCCTCTTTCTCCTCCCACATGAACATTGCAGAATGAGAATTTCAAGTTATCATTAAGTTTCCTTCAAGTCTATGTTGTGCTACTTAGAAGCAACTGTAGTGGAATAATGTTTTTTCTATCATTAAAGGACCTTTATCAGATTATTTGTCTTTTTCTAGTCTTGAGCTATAAGAATATTTGTCACACATGTTCCCTCATATTCCTCTCTTAAGGTGCACAGCAGTCAGGCTGAATGAAGTCCAGCTCATAAGACCATAGCTGGATCTCTGGGAGAAGTCAGAGAGTATGAGCGGTTTCTTAGCACTACTGTATTTACATTCAGAATTCAAGGACAGGCTGAAGGATGCCCAGGGTTTTTTCCTTTTTTTTTTTTTTTAAGAGACAAAACTGCTTTAAAAATACTCCATTTCCACTACATTTTTTATGTCACGAAAGTTGTTTTTCTGTCCTATGCAGCTGTTACCCTTCTGTCACTGATGTTTAATAGTTGCCATTTCATGCTACCTTTTCATTCCCTAGCTGAAATGCGACAGAGCCAGCCTTCAGAGCCATCACTAGCATGACAGCCCAGCACAGCGTGGTGAACTGGTACAGGGGCCAGCAGTTCAGACAGACCACCTTCACCACTGCGGGCAGGTGGCACAGGAAAATACAGGACACTGAAGAGGGCACCCATTTGGAACATTTAGTAAGGTCTGACACACACACTGACGACATGAGACAAAAATGAATGCAAGTGAGTCTATTAGGTTGAGAACAATTAGTGAGTGATAAATACGTCCACCACCAGCTCCCAGCTTCATTAAGAGCTATTCTGAACTGCATAGTAAGTGCTGGTTGTAGAAGCTTAGGCAGATTGGAGAAAGCTCACCAGTTACTCATGGTAAACTAAGTTTTTAAAAACAATGGAGAAAAAAAATAGGTGCTTTGCCATTTGAGTAACTCCAATCTCACGGCTTGGGCACAGCAGAAGTAGTTACCTGACGTAACAGATTCTTTCATTCAAATGCATGCAAAGTTAAACAAGTGTGTTAACTAGGATAAGCAGCATAGAAATCAAGTCTAAGTTACCCATTATTTATCAGACTGCCAGACATATCTTTTCCTTTCAGATTCATATTTGTCGTACAAAATATAGTAGATGGAGAAGTCACAACAGTAACACTACGTATCACTGGCCTTTAGTGCCAATGCATTGTGTGCCATCAGCCTTCCAAGATTACCAAACTTTTGGGAGAAAACAGCTGCTTTACCAAACTGAATAGAACATGTACAACCCATCCTGCTCAGAACAGAAGGGAAATGGTTTTACAAAGCTGTGGACAGATGCGTATCTAATTCCCCCTCATTCCTGGGACAGAAAGGGCAGTGTAACTGCACAGCTAGAACTTGACTCTTGAAAAGAAAACAAAATCCAGAAAATGCAATGACCGTGTAGACAAAAATCTGTTCTGAAAGTCATGCTATCAAAGAGCTGAGCCAATGCTCTGCGCAGCAAAGTGATCAACAGTACATCTACAGGCCTGTGTGTGACAGACCATAAGATGAGACTTTACAAAAATCCAGTTTAATTTCACATTTCCAATACATCTCCTTGCCCATCAGCAGTCTGCCACAGATTTTAAACTTGTAAAACTCCTTCCCGTTGAGCTGATTTCCTTCCCCACCCCCCCACCCCCCTAAAGTGCAAATAAGACTCCGGTTTTTACCACTCATTCCAATGATCATTATCTTGGTTACAAGAGTGATCAAAAGCCAGCTGGCTGAGCCATTACCACTAGGCTTAGTGATACTCTGTTTTGTTTTTTTTAACCCTGGCTACTCTTTCCAGCAAAAGGCAAATAGAAAACAAGTGTTCCTTCCGCCAGATGCAGGCATGGCAGGAGGCTGCCTTAAGTACCATCAATTTAAGATGCACATGCTAGACACAACCAGTGCGTTTCTGTGCATAACAAGAAATTGCCCTTGTTCGCTGGAAATGGAAGTCATCTTTGGGATCTTCTTTCCTCACAAAGAGTTCAGAAACAGTTGACTAGTCTTCATTAAGAGGTGCTTCTCTCTTCCTTGCATCTACATTGAAAAGATTAAAAAAGGAGAGGCAGTTAAGTCAGACGGTTCTGACAGCATTCATCTGAAAACTCAACCAGAACACAGTTGGTTTGTTTTCAATGGACAGCACTTTCCACTTCAGACTCATGAATTCACTACATGGACTGAAACACTGTATGAATCCACAGCATGTTAATGAGATAGTCATACCAAGGTTTTATATGTTTGCCCTGTTGAAACTGAAGACAACTCATTTAAGTAGCCCAATAAACTTTCAGACTCCAGATCTGTGATACATTTCCTCCCCCCTTGCTCATGAACCCCTTTTTCAGGGTCAGGCCAGCATTTGCTTTGCATACCAGCCTCAGAGATGACAACAGCCTGTTCTGAAAAGCATTTGACTAATTATGACTTTGCTGGTCCCCAGCTGCATAGCACACATTTTAAAAAAGAAGAGTGCTCTCACTGTATTTTGAGGACCTGCCTGAAGCACCAGATCTTAAACTGCTCCCAACAGCAAACCTTTGAGCACAGCCCAGGTAGGGTGTTGGAGCACATCTGGACAACTCAGTCCATTACTCCAATAGCAGGCAGTGCAGCAGCCATTAGGAAAGCTGGGGTCATCTCTTCCTGGGCTTCTTCAGAAGCGTTTCTGGGCTGACTTTGAGCTATCTGTGAGACTCGGTCAAACGCAGGTAACTCTTGAAGTGCACCATGATCACAGCTACTCTAGCAACTGCCTGCTAAAAAATGCACTTACATATTTTTCTAAACTTAAGTTTCTTTCCAACTCAATCTATACATTCCAAGGTCATTATGAATATCCCCACTCAGAAATTACTTGTAAATTAAAGACAAACCTCTTTTGCATTACTGTAGGCCCCAACTGCCCTTCGTTAATGTAGAAGACGGGCCCTATTTGGCCAGAATATTCAGAGAACACGATTATGAAACTGTTTGTGCAAGTCCCATGACTTTGTGCGAAAAAAAGTTTGTACAAGACAAAATATTCTTCCCAAATAACAAAAGAAGAGCTTAGAGATTCCCGGTGAGTGGAGCAGCCACCTGGAGTAGGACAAAATCTCAGCAGCCATTTGGGAGAGAAATCAGAAGTGGCCTCTCCTGTGTTCCCCATCACACTTATCAGGGATACTGAGGCCAGGACTGAATAAACTGTCGCAACTTCTCTACTTCATATAGAATAACTGACTAGCAATTAGAGACAAAAAAAGCTTCCTAAAAATGAATGTCATACCCATCTAGCTGCAGAGTGATTCCCAGTCTGATTTTAGAAATATCAAAATGCATTGCATTCTTTCTGGTGAACACTTATAAAGGAATCATACCAGTTAAGTTCCTGAACTTTTTTTTGGCTTCTGCTCTTTCTTCAGCATCAAAATACCACACAGTCATGGCATATCTACGAAAGAAAGAAATTTTGTTTGTTTCAACTTTTGCTATTAAAATAGACCCCTGGAGTTTTACGCTCATGGAGAAAGGAAAAAAAAAAACCCACCAAACAAACCAACCACAAAACTGGATTAGCAGATAAATAGGATGCAAATGGCACATCTTCATAGGCAAATAAACGCAGCATTTTAAATGTGTATTTTATCAAGACCAAAATATAGGTGAGAATTTCTGCTTGGAGGCACAAGAGTACACAGCCCCTGGTAACAGAGGGCAAAAGTAGCTTACAGACCTTTGCACTATTTCTGTTTTGGGACACCTGTAGGCAGCTTAGGGTTTGCCCTGTGCCACACCAGCTGTTTGTAGCCTGTTGACAGATGGTAGCCCCAAGAATCCCCACAGCATTACAAGGGCAAAAGTATAACCCAGCATCTCCCAGTTAAATAGCTATGCCTGGTTTAGAAGATTTCTCATGTCAATGGTAAAAAGGTTGGTTTTTCTTCCCCAATCACACAAATCTTATCATTCAAGCTTGTTATTCCTCATCTGATGAGAGAACTCCCACAAAATCCACTCATACTCTAGGTATCTATTTTTTATGCCCATGTGTATTTAAACAAACACATGATGGACGTAATTTTAGCTACAAATATTGGTAGAAGAGATGCTTTATTTTTTTTCCTGGCCAAATATCAATACCAAATACACTACTTACCTGGTTGCATAAGAAGGCTGGACTTCATGTGGGTTCCTTCGATCTGACCAAAAAAAAAGTAATCGGTCAAAAATCGGCTCAACATCCGCTACATAGGACTTTCCTTCTGGGAATATCCGAAGAATTCCACCATGCAGCTGAAAGAAAAGGAAAGGTTGCTTTTCACGCATATAAACACCCTCACATTCATGCAAACAATGACTTACTTCTCCCTCCTCAGAATGCAACAAGTGTGGAATAAACATCTAATGATAACCAACACAGCTACATGACAACACTGGAAAACTGTACACTGGCCACCTTGATTTTCCCCAAACAGTTTGTAATGTTTCAGCATAAACATCTGCCTAAAGTAAATGAACCAAGATAAAGACAACGTTGGCCCTGTAACAAACACTGGGAAACTTCTGAGCTCCCAGTCACACCTCTGGAACTAGCGTATAAATACCACAAGGCAGGTAAGGCTACTCCACCTGACCAGCCTGAGATCAGACTCTCCTCCCAGCAATTGCTAGATACTGCTTATGGTATTTCAGAGCCCACATCTGATCATATAGGAGTTAACTTTTACATGCAGGGAAGAGTGAAGTCTGTTCTGTCGTTCGATTTGTAATAAATTTCTCATAAACGCATTCTATCTCCCAGCCAGTCTTTTCCCTACTTATGACATACCCTGGTTTCTCTACCACATTATTTCTGCCTTTGCACTTGCCACAAGTTTCAGGGGAAAAGTCCTGTGATCTGCTCGCACTGCAGAAACTTCAAAAGATGCAGATGAACTCTGCCTCCTCCCTTCTGCTGTTAGAGGGCTCATTGGGAGGCTTTTATGCCGCATCACAGAGGACAGGGAAGAGGCTGCCAACCCAGCCTGACTTAGTACCTCCATGTGGCAGGCAAACCTCAGTAAGAAACTATTAGGTCAGGCTTAAAGCAACATGGCTGCTTTCAAAGGCCAGCATAGTTATATTACATCTCCTCCAGCGTACATTTGCATCAAATTAGTCACACCCACATAATACTCTCCACCACCATCCTGGATTTCAGTTAGCTTCCTTAGTGTCCACTTGGATGTTTTCTCACTATTAAAATAAGAGTGCAGGGCACAAAATAAATGGGATATTTGCATTTCCTCCCACATCTTCTCCTTCATTTTATTACATTGAGATGTTTCACTGTCTTATTCTCTGTAAAGGACTGTGGTTTTCTCCAACAGTGCATTTTTCAGTGGCATATTGCCTCTAAATCTGAACTCACTTTTGGGGGCTCTAGTATTTATGTGTGCTTAAAAAGCATCCACCTAAAGTGGCCAAGACAGGTTAGAGAGACAAAAAAAACATTGTGTCATTTTCAACAGGTAATCCATATGAATGGTTTGTGCTGCATTATGACAACAGAAGTGTAAAGAGATACCCTGCAATTTTTAAATCCTTATTTTGTTTCTAACTTTAAGGTTTGCTAAATTCAAGGGTGACTTTATTGCCTTATAGTAATACAGGCAGAAACAAGAGCACTGTCCTGTCAAGAGACCCACTGGTGGAGCCAAAGATGGAGAAGACAAACCAAGCCATGTGCTCATTCATTCCTCTTACTAAGCCCCATCACTTCATAAGTAAGAAAAACCACAAAGGCAACTGCCTGAAGATCTTCTGCAGGTTAGCCTGAAGGAACAGTATCAAGAATGCTAAAGGCCCAAATTTGGGCTGTCATTTTATTCTGCTCCCAGAATCCACTTGTTCTTTAGTGGATTATGCTCTTCTTCCTATTGCTCTTTCCTCTAAACAAAGCGTAAGAGCCAGCAGCTCAGTACTTAGAAGCTTTACCCTATAGCAACAAAACAGTATGTGTGTGGGATGGGAGAGGGGAAACAGTTCAGATTCTTATTTCCAAAAGGCTGTCATAAACACCAAGAAAATAAACGTAGAGATGAAGAACGGACTAGCTGTTCAAAAGTTCACAGAAACAACTACAGCTCCAAGGCTCTGTTTCTGAATTAGTTTTGTCTTCATGTTCTGCCTCAAACACATGGCTTACTCACCTTGGAGTCCCAGTTCTTATTCAGGTAATAAATACAGGTGATGCAGCGCCCGTCACCATTTGGATTGTCCACATGTCGAACATACCCAGTTCCATTGCCAGGGTAACAAGCGACCATAGCCTGAATCAAAGATAAAGACTGTGAAAAAAATAAACTCTACAAGACGCCCACCTTCAGTTTTTCTTTGCTAAGCATCCTCCCACCATCAGTTTGGCTCAGTATTTTCCAGATGATCAATCCAAAACCTACAGCAGACACCACTAGAATGTATCTTTACACTCTTCACCAGATGAGTCAGCCAGTGTGAAATTCCACACTGGAAATAAATATCCTTCATATTTCGCAATGTATACACTAAAGTAGGAAAAAAATTCTGAATTAAACTAAACCACTAGTTTGTATGGTACAAGCTTACTGCTCTCTCCAAGCTACATGACCTTGTGGCAGTTTCAGCTAAAGTTTGCTTGGGTTTCTTCTAAAGATGAGTAGTCATCGCAAAACTGATTTGCCAGTCATAATGAAAGCAGAAAGCAATCCCAGGATGACATACCTCACTACCACCATCCTCCTCTAGTCATATCTTCTAGCCCCTGTCAACCCTACGGTCCAACACAAAGTGAGAGTCCCCAGGAGGTGTTGGTAGAAGCCCACAGAGCAAAGTCTGCAAAAATCTGCAACTCCTTTGTGCTGTGTTTGCACAGGGCACTCCATGTTTGCTTTCATGGACTGAGCTACAGAACTAACCAAACAACTTTCAGAAGCATACTTCTCCCTCTGATCATCTCCAGACTTGCTGACACAATGGCTTAAATCACTGTTTGTTTAAATTTCACCTTGGGTGATAAGCATAACATGAATTACTCCGAATCACACAACAATCAACAGGTCTTAGAAGGGTTTTTACAGCAAAAACATATTAAACTTGAATTGACACCATTAGCAGCCTAAGCAGGATACAGAGAAGAGCAGGTGAGACTGCTGGTAGGGTACCAGATCTTTGTCTCAGAGTTACTTCTTCACTACTGGGACTACTTGGTAATGATACCAGTGACCTTCCATAGAGTTTACTCCACTAAAGCTGTGGCAGTATAAGTCTCATTCCCACTCCTCTGACATCTCCTTTCAATGCTTGACAGTATTAGCAGCAAGAGTGATGGGAGATGATGGGCCACATTTGGTTGGAAAACTGGACACAGTATCCAAACATGGCTTCCCCAGGGCTGAGGAGAGGGCGATAATCACTCCCCTCAAGCTTCGTGCTGTGCTCCTGTAAATAGTGCCCTGGATGCTGTTGTGCAAGGAGGATGCTGCAGGCTCATGTTCAGCTCGCTGCCCACCAAGACCACCAGGGTCCCCAAGCTCACCGGAGGGAGAGCAGAGCTGCTCCCCAGCCTGGCAGTCCCCAGCCTGTACCACTGCAAAGGGCTCTTCCTTCCCAGGGGCAGGACTTTGCGTTTGCCCATGCTTAATTCCATAGCATTCGTGCTGGCCTGTTCCTCCAGCCCATCTGGGTCCCTTTCAGTGGCAGGCCTGCCCTCGAGTTCATCAACTGGTCCCACTCAGTTTGGTGTCATCTCCACACTTGACAAGAGTGCACTCTGCCATCTGCTACAGGTTACTGATAAAGGTGGTAAACAGGTCAGGTCCCATGAGAGATCCCTGTGGTGCTCCATTTGTTACCAGCCTCTAGGTACAATACGACTGATTAACAACCACCCTCCAAGCCCAACAATCCAACCAGTTTTTTACCCATCTAGTTTTCCATCCATCCAGACCATATGATCCTAACTTTGGATACATGAGTATTGTGCATCTTTGTCCCACAGAATGGGGATGTGATTGTGCAACACTTGCATGACTTGCCCCTAATTATCTGCCAAGCACAGCTGATAGCACTTAAGATGGACAGTATAGGCTTTAGTAAGAGCAATTAAAATTTTTATCTAGGAATCCCAGAGGTCTTGTTTTCTGCTCCCAAGCACATGCTAAAGCCATGCTGTTCTCACGGGACATGTGACCAGCTAGATTATAGCATATGCTGCTTTAATCACAAAGGTAATTTTACTGTGCCAACACACACTGGCACAGAAGTTACCATTGGCCAGCACAGTGGATCCCTTGGACCCTCAGCTACTAAGAACAAAGATCTATTCACAGGAGTCAGCCAGTTAGGACAGGTATACATATGCAGCTGTGAAAATACTGCTCTGCATTTCAAGTCATGGATTAATTGACTTTCCTTCCTCCCTACAAGCACTAGCAGAACAGTACCTGCAGGCAGCTGTAAGTCACCAGAGCCTGCTCCTCACCTCACCTGATACCTCAGGCCACAGCTGCTTGGGGGGTGGTGGCCTGCCGGGGCAGGAGACTATGCTGAACAAGAGTGACTATCTGTAACTCCAAGTAATAAGCCCTCTTCCATCACACCTGGCAGCTGGCTAGATGCCTTGCCGTAGGTCCTGTCTGCTTGCTGTCATTCTGCTGTTACAAACGGCTCCACAGCTGAACTTACCTTTCACTAACACCCTGATAACAGCAGTATGGGCCTGCTCACAGCCTAGCACTGGAAACAAGTCTATAAGGGGCGTAACCCTAGTCGAAACCACAAGTCAGCTGTACCTGCAGTGTAGAAATGGTCCAAGGGAGCTGTACCCTCACTGGTGAGGATAACCCCCTCGTTCATCCCCCTCATCCCAGATGCTAGCACTGCACCCTTCCCCCATCCCACTCACACGGAGCTGGATTAGGTTGAACAATTAGAACAGTAACCCTTTGCTAAACCTGATCCTCGTACACTGGGGAACATGACCCTGGAGGCTGAGAGCACAGAGAGGGCAGCGATTCCAGCAGACGGGCAGGGCGAAGGGCTATGCGCGCCCACATCAGGCCTGGCTCAGCACAGCTCTGCTAATCATACCAGAGGGATGACGCACAGTGGGAATAAAACTTTGTTCACTGATAATACCTCATTTTCAAGTCAATATACAGGATGAAACTATGGAGGCCTTAAGGAAGTCTCTCTTTGGAGAGCAGACATTACTCCAAGATTACCAAATTGCCTAAAAATCAATCCAATATTACTACTATTTTTAATGCCACAATCAAAAAGCTGCTGAAGAATAATAGACTGCAGGCCAAATCTTTAAAAGGATTTAGGTGCTTTACTTACTACCAAAATCTGGGCAGAAGGCCAGAGTTTTCCCCGGCCTCCCCTACATAACATGTTCTCTTAACAGAACATGTGCTTTGACTCCAAGACATTGGTGCATTATTTATTTATTTACTGCATGCACCTTTTGCAACTGCAACGCACAGAGTCCCTGGGGATGAAGAAGCAGAACAATTCCCACAGAATCCAAAAGCACTGGCCACACTCTAGCTTGACTTTAAGAAAAGAAAAGAGGGGGGGAAAAAGTTTTCTAGTAGCAGCAGTGAAGGGAGAAAAGCAGAAGTGAAATATCCTTCTTCCTGGTATGGTAAATATTTGAATGAAACCTTAAACAATGAAGGGAAATCATTCTGGTCCTCCTAGAGCCTGCTGAAACGATATCAAGCTTTATCAGAGCACTGGCTGGAGCAGCTCCAGAACAGATCAAGCTGGCCTCAGCAGGGACTCCAGCTCTTAGCACTACTTTTGGATTCATTCAAAGCAAACAAGAAACACGAGATGAGATGCATGACCCAGACTTAATTTAGTTAATTGGCGAAGAGTGGCATTTGCCAGTTTAGTGCACAGGCTACCTACAAGAGCCAGAGACTGGATCATAATAATCAAACCATTTACTAGGTGAGTAAGTGGAGTATCAGTAAAAAAGTTTCCTATACTTTCACTATTGTGTCCAGAAGAGCACACTCCAGTTTTGGAAGCATCTCCCTTCATTAACCAACTCCAAATCTAAACTATCTATAGCAGGCAGTAATGAGCAGGTTTTAAGTACTTTTTTTTTTTTTTTTTTTGCAATACAATCCATTACAATGGCTGCTAGTTGGCTTAACTTCCCAGTGTAAGCACACAGAGCAAATTTCAGCACTCTCCCTCCCCCCACCCCTTATTTTAAGTTAAATCAGATGAGTTTTTCTTAAACATCAGGTGGACACTTCAAAACTGATATACACATGCATGCCTTCGCAGTTGCACACACCCCACCCCCCACAGTTTGAAGACATAAGCTATCCTGGTCTAGTTGACAGTCATAAATTAAAGCCTGCAAAACTATGAAAATGAAAAGCAAATCATCAAGACTGCAGTTTCTGCACTGTCATTTTCAAAGACGTTAGGTTTCCCAGGAGGGTGCAAATCATCCACCAGTTAAACAAGCAGTAATTATCAGCTTTAGTAAGGAGCCAGGAATCATCAGAAAATTCTGCACTGCACAGAAGCTTGCAAAAATAAGTTATTCATCATTCAGTTTAAGTATTACACTCAAGTCAGCCAGAGAAATCTGCAAGTCAATCTGCAAGACATCAGCAAGGTTTGGAAGCAGATAAAAAACAACAGTTCCATAGAGAGGATTTTTCCCTGCCTCCCAGTGCTTCTAGCAAGGGGAAAACAAATTCTCTTAGCTGATAGCCAGGACCATGCTGTGAGGCATCATTCTGCCACATTTCATAAAATAAGCAGCACTGAAGTAGACTGACACACGGAACAAAATGCTTCAGAGAATACCTCAGCTAGAAAAAGCTTGTAAGTAGAAACGAACAGTGCTTAATAGGAAGCAGTGAAGACTGCAGGTCAAAAGGAGATGCTCTCCATGCCTGCTAGCCCTAAGCCAGGGCCCTAGTGTACTCCTAGTGCAGGCCGTTTAGGTGGCATCGTAACCCTATACTGATCCAGTGTTTTCCTCCCAGAACTAATATGACCTTTGCAACCAGCAGAGAAGATTCTGACCTGTGTAACTATCCTGCCAACACCAATCACCTTTGCAGCCTAAGCTAACGACTCCACAATACGCTTTTCCATTTTCTGTACCAGATTGGTCCTGCATATGTTGAACAGCTGCTACTTTTGATCCCTAATGTAGATCATCTCTGCATACAGCTTGTACATCAAATAGTTAAATTCAGAAATTACTTGTAAAGTCTGTTGGATTTTACGCTGACGGTTGTGTAGAAAACAA